CAGACACAGTCAAAAATAAATAAGTAAATAAATTTAAAAAATTACTCCTCTTTTCCTACCCGGTGACGCTGCTGGTTGCCCATAACTCTGCACTCCAGAGCACGTGGAAACCAAGCCCTGCCCCAGGTTCCCTCCTTCCTGGTGGAGGACTCCCTTTCAGAGTAGAGGGACCTAGAATGCCATGTCCTCTGTCCCTCAGAGGCACCTGACCACTCAGTCCCTTGTGATGCAAACTCAGAAGCTCACTGGAGAGGTTGTACCGCCCCTGCAAACAGCATCTACTCCTGTGTCAACTTACAAAGGTAGTGAGCCAGCCCTGGGAGACAGTCCTTCTCCTCCGTATCAACACACGCTGCCTGTCAGTTGCCGCTTTCTTTGAAAATAACCAATTTATTTTCATCATTATATTGATGCATCCTGCTTCCCCTGCCACAGCAATGCTCTCGGACTCCTGCTCTTTGAATCCGTGAATTACTTCTTAGGCCAGGTCCTGTGCTGGGTGCTGGGGAATCAGTGGAGGCCAAATCAGGTTATGTGAGGAATGCCATACTCTCTAGCCAGGAGAACAGACATTAAATAAAATATTCCATATAAATTGTTTGCAAGAGAACTACCTGCAGTTAAGAGAAGTATAGAATGCTACGCAAACACAAGACGAGGGGGCCTAAGAGGACCTGGGATGTAGGAGTTGAGGGGTATTAGTTTCTTGTTGCTGCTGTAACAAAATATGCGTGGAAGCTTAAAAAAAATCTTAAGGTTCTGAAGGTCAGAAGTCTGAACTGGGTCTTACAGGGCTAAAATCAAGGTGTTGGAAGGGCTGTGTTTCTCCTGGAGGCTGGAGTGGAGAATCTGTTTCCTTACCTTTTCCGTCTTCTAGAGGTTGCCCACATTCCTTGGTTTGTGACTCCCAGCCAGTAATTACATCACTCCAACCACCACTTTTGCAGTCATATCTCCTTCTCTGACTCCCCTGCCTTCTACTTTTCCTGGATCACGACCCTTGTGATTTCTTTGGGACCAGTGAGATAAGCCAGGATAATCTTCCCATATCAAGATTCGTAACTTAATTGCATCTCAAGATCTCTTCTGCCCTGTAACATACTCACAGCTTTCAGGAATTAGGATGTAGATCCGTGGAGAGGCCATTGTTCTGCCTACCACCTGGAGTAAAAGAGGAGTTGAGGAAAAAAACCAGGAGGAGCAAAAGCATTTAGAAGAATACACACGGGATAGTAGGAGGGAAGCAGGTGTTGTGGACAGCAAGGACCCACCACCCAGAGAGAGTGCCCTGTGGAAAGGTCCAGAGGTGGGCAGAGATGTGCTGCCTGGACCCGAAAGAGTCCTGGGTTGGTGTTGTAGGGAGAATGAGAGCACATGAGATCAAAGCAGCTGGCAGTGGTCCACTCATGAAGGACTTGGCTCTGCTCTGAGAGGACTAAGACGGAGGACTTCAGCAGGGAAGGGGTGGCTTCACATCCAGGCTTTAAAAGATGACTTCGGTGGTGTCTGGGGGATCACATTAGAGGGGGGCAAGAATGAATTCCAGGGGGCATGGCAGTGAGAAGGAAGAGATCATTGTGGCTTGTCTAGGATGGTGGGGTCAGATTCAGGAGATATTCAAGAGGTGGATGAAGGTGAGGTGTCAGGGGTAACCTCAAGGCTTCCGGCACGAACACTAGGGTGACTGGCGGCACCTGCACGAAGACAGGAAGCTTTGAAGGAGTGAAGGTGTGTGGTGAGTTCAAGAATAAAGTTTTGGACCTAGCTTGAGTTACCAATATGACATTTAAATTGAGCTGTTGAGTAGGCCTACTGGTATGGCATAAGTCAAGGACGGTCCTCTTTTAGAGACATTTATTCAAGCAGTATGACAGGCTACAAGGAGATAGGATTTGGAAGCAAAGGTTTACGTGAGTCCTGTTTTTCCATCAATGTTCTGTATGACTGGGTCAAGCCATATAGATCCTCAGAGCCCCAGTTTCCTCATTTTAAAAATCATTAGTAAAATTTCTGTCCTGCTGATAATACCAGATTGTTCTGAAAATCAAATGATAAAGTAAATATGAAAGTGCTTCGTAACTTTTAAATGTTTCATAAATGTTATGTTAATGTTTTTTTAGTAGGATTAATGATTCAGGTACGTAAAGTAGGAGGGGGCATTTTACCGTTATTGATTACAAAATCATCTTAATCACATTGTATAGTATTTTGTCCACCTTCTCTCTCCATGGACTAAATAATTCCACTTCCCATATCGTCTTAGAGATTCCATGTTCTAATCATTTGATCATCTCTGTGGACAGAGCTGGCCCTGGACAAAACTGCCAGGAGAGTGGGGCGGGGAGGCGGAGTCCTATGATGCGGTGGCGGGAGAGGTGACAGGAGAGTGCTCATTGGAGACGAGGTTAGGAGAACGTTCCTGAAATGTTTACTGTCTGTCAGCACCTCGCAACTGCTTTACGACATGGGCGTTCTTTTCCCATTTTACTGATAAGGATGCAGAGTGTTCGGGGCGTTCATTGACCTTGTGGATGGAGGCTGGTGGGTGATGCAGCCCTCAGCATCTGGAGTCCACGCTTCCCTCCATGCCCAAAGCCTCCTGGGAACAGGAAGAGTGGAACTTTTGTGCCCCGTTGTCCCCTGGAGGTGCTCATTGAGCTGACACTTTTCCGGTTTAAAAAGAAGAATCTGACTGATACTCACTGAGGTGTTTTTGACTTCACTGTGAGCTCCTCAGCCCAGAACAGAGCTCTTTGAAAATAGAAACGCTCCGTGTTAGCCATATTTATGGAGGTGATCATTTTGCCATGTATACAAATGTTGAATTATTATGTTGTACACCTGAAACTGATACAATGTTATATGGCAATTAGACTTCAATAAGAAAAAAGAAAATGGAAGCTCTCTCTTTTATTGTTGTTCTTTAATATTCTGAAGCTTCTAGTAGGTGTGCGATACAACTTTTTTATAACTGAATAAATGATTCCTCTCAGTGTCATTTCTATTATAAAAACGATTCAGAAATGGCAATGGCTCCCTTTGGCAGTATTTCAGATGGAGAGAAAGCCTGGAAGAGTAATTGACGGTGTGCATTCTGTAATCTAAGGGGTCATCCTCCAATCAGGCTCCCTACTTCGTAGACTCATAATCCTTACTGACGCTGGAGCTCTTCTCTGGAAGGCACCTCTCCAAATTCTGCGTCTGACCCTGCTCTCATCCCTGCTTAGCACAATGAGGCCCAAGTTCCCAGCCTGCCCGGGATACAGGGTGGTATTTCCTATTTGCTTTCTTTCCTCAGAAAAACAATTCAGTGCATGGAACAACAACAACAAAAACATAGCAGACACAAGCATTTTCATTTGTAGTGGCAAAGTCTGGGATATATGCCTTCTATAACAATTAGGCTTTTTGTTGCCTTCGATCTTCAGTAATATCTTACACCTTGACATGATTTCTGATGTGACATTTCCCTGTAGAGATGCGAGTTAAGACGTTGGTACTGACTTTGCATTTGAGAGGAAGTTGTTACCGCAGCACTTGCAGTTTAGAAGATACAGGAAAATAAGTCATCTTTGCATGATTTATTCCCAAAGCCCATTATCACAAAATGCCCCTGATAATTCAGGTTCATATTAAATTTCTGCCATTCAGAGAAAGGACAGTTTGGGCAAATAAGTGCTCATTAAAATTTATTTAGAGGGAATATTTTCCATTAGGGTGTTTCATTATTTAAGAAAGAAATAGAAGCCTAGGCAGTAATGCATAATGCTCACACCAACATGGTGTTTCAGATAAATTACATGTGGATAAGGGTGAATGTGTTTGGGTTGGGAAGGCTGAGTGATTCTAGCAGGTACTGTAGTTGCATAATTATAAGCCAGGTTGAAAGAAGTTGCTGAAAAACAAGGATGAGCCCAAAGAAATCCACCAACAAGCCAATAAAAAATTATTCCATGCTGGTCTAATTTTTGTTCCTTTTGAAACTGAGGGTTGGGGCCTCCGTATCGGTGGAGCTGGCGTGTGTGCATTACTGTGAGTCTGTGGGTGGTTAAGAGGCTAGACAGGCAATACAGGGGGTGAGTAGAGAATAATGGGCACCCTGAGGGATACCGACCCTAACTCAAGGCACCACACTTCATTATTTTTAAGGCAGAGGAAGGATGGCTGGGGCCAGATGTGGGGTTTGGTTCACCAGTGAGCAGCCAGGACATTTCAATAACCACACATCTCTCTTAAAGAGCTGCATTTTCACTCACCACTGAGGCTTGATAATATTCTTTCACACAGCCTCAGGGAAGTTCTCAAGGTGCCCTCTTTCTGCGTCGAGGAGGTCCTTTGTGCAGACGCCTTGGATGATTTCCCTTCCTCTCAAAACAGGATCTGGTACCACTTCCATGTGTGTGGGGGGATGTTCCCCACACCAGCCAGCGAATCTTGGGACACCAGCTGCGTGTCTTACAATTCAACTCAATTCAGCTATACTTGGAGACTACATCATATTCCACGAGTTAAGTGTTCAGTCCTACAAGACTGTCTGATCAGGCCTCCCAAGGTGGCTGCTGTCTTGCTCTCTGTACCTCCCCTGCTTCACCTATACTCTACTCACGTGACCGACCTTCCTACGTACTTACCCCTGCCCCAGCTAGTGATTGTTCTAATCTTTTTTTTTTTTTTTTTGCGGTACGCGGGCCTCTCACTGCTGTGGCCTCTCCCATTGTGGAGCACAGGCTCCGGACTCGCAGGCTCAGCGGCCATGGCTCACGGGCCCAGCCGCTCCGCGGCATGTGGGATCTTCTCGGACCGGGGCACGAACCCGTGTCCCCTGCATCGGCAGGTGGACTCTCAACCACTGCGCCACCAGGGAAGCCCTGTTCTAATACTTAGGTCAGAACATCTTCACCTGTTAGCTTATCAAAGGGGCCAGGAGGGGCCTCGTGCCCCTTTGCTAGTTTCCCTGGTAACCCATGAGCCCACCCGATGTCAATTCTCCCTATAACTAGGAACCTCCCTCTGCCCTGGGAGCGAAGACTTCTGCCACATCCTGCATGCCGCCGGAAGCACACGGTGCGATGTTGTTCCAGGACCTTGCTGCAGATGTGTAAAGTCCCTCTAACCATTAAACCACTGACGTCTCTGTCTCTGACTCCAGGCTCTTGCTTTCGTCTTAGAGCTGGGTAAGTACCGACCTTGCAGGCCTGCGGGGTGCAGCCCAGCAAACACTCCTCTCCCTCCCTCTTCCTCCTTCCCGCCCACTTCAGATGCAAGTTGCAAGGCCAGTTGGTTATCTGTGCTTCTGACCTACTGGCTAGAAATCAGGGGTTCCCAAGAGCCCCTCCTTGGGTTCAATTAATTTGCTAGAGTGGCTCATTGATTTTAAGAGAAACATTTTACTTACTAGATGAGCAGTTTATTATAAAAGGGTGTAACTGAGGAATAGGCAGATGGAAGAGATGCACAGGGCAAGGCATGTGGAAAGGGTGTGGAGCTCCCAGGACCTCTCCAGGCCTGCCATTCTCCCAGAATCTCCACCTGTTCACCAACCCGGAAGCTCTCCAAACCCTGTCCTTTTGGGGGTTTATGGAGGCTTCATTACATAGGCAGAAGCACATAGGCATGAATAATTAAATCATTGGCCATTGGTAATTGGTTCAACTTCCAGCCCATTGTTCCCTTCCGGGAGGTTGTTGGTGGTGGGGGGATACTGAAAATTCTAACCCTCTAATCATGTGATTGGTTCCCCTGGCAACTAGCCCTCATCCCTAAGTTACCTAAGGGCTTTACAAAAGTCACCTCACTGACATAGTAAAAGACACCTTTATCCCTCTTATCACAGGAAATTCCAAGACTGAAGACCAAATACATATTTGAAGAACCTCAATTAATACCAAGCCAAACAACTACAGAGAACACCACACCCAAGTACATTATATTCAAACTGCTGAACACCAAAGATAAAGAGAAAATCTTAACAGTGGTTGAGCTAGCTGTGCGTTTTGTTGTTGCTCTGGTTACCCTCAGTGGACCCCCAGCTTTGAATTCTTCCAGCTTTGCCTTGTGCTTGAGATGGGGACAGGTTATCAGAGGTTTTCTCCATGTTCTTATGCCCCGCGCCACCCCCTCAGCTTTAGGCTTTCCCTCTGAGCCAGAACCTCAGAGATCATTGTTCTGCATGGTCTTGCCCCATTCTGTGTGATGGACAGTTGATCTTTGTAATTGATCCTCACTGGCCCCATTGAGGTGCGAAAGGGTATTCTCTGGTTTTCCCTCTTAAGCCTCAATCTTAGGCTTCTGTTGTATTCCTGGGGCTCATTGGTGGAGGTTACTCAGTGATTCTGCCACTCCTGCAAAAATAGAGAATTTCTAATGATCTGAGCCCACATGGTTTCCTGAGACTCTCCGAACAGTAGTGTGAGTTGTGCCCTCCTTTCTTTGCTGCAGTGGGTCTTTGCCTGTGTTCTAAGTTTGGCAGTTCTTGCCACCCTTTCCTCAACAGCTTAATGCTTTTGTTCCATGGAGGAGGAAGATCTGGGTGGGGATTTAGGCTTTCTGAACCACCCTGTTCTTCATCTTGCTTCTGATGTCCATAAAGAATAACCTGTGAGTTGGTACAAACTCCCTTTATATCTGAATCTCCCAGGGGTTCTATACTCTCACACTTGCCTAAACTGGTCTTCAGCAAGTTGTTAGAATTTTTAGCTGAAATCTTGCCCACTTGTGTGGCATATGTGGCTTGACTTGGTGAAGAAAGTAGAATGATCGTACTCAAGGCAAAGTGCTATCCGTATCAAGCCTTTCTCTGATTCCGGGGAGTGCAACCCATGCTGGGGGAAGGAATTCTTCGCCAACCTTGGCCATGGGGTTAGCTCTCTTGGTCTAAACTCACTCTCTGCACCTAGCACCAATGCTAGGCAACTACTGCTTTCAGATAGTTCCTTTTCCGGGAGCAGAGGGCCGTGGCCCAAGCTGCAGATAAATTCCTAAAACTGTATATTTATGTTATGATTTAGCAAATTATGTACTCTTTAAGATTAAATGTGGTAACCCATTAAATTCCCTATGAAACTTCATAACCTGTGGATACATGCAGAGCAGAAGGAATCTTCTCAGCCCCTAATTAGGCACGTGTGCATTCAATAAGTTACCCCAAATTGCAACTCACACAGGCTAGAGCACCGCAACTGATCTTTCTGGGGGAAATGTATTTGTAAGATTTACTCTGAGGTCCAAACTTTAGAATAAGGGGAAAGTACTTATCCTGGGAGAAGAGGGATCCCTTTCAGTACATTACCAGGACTTGTTGGCTGCTTATATAATAGCCATTACCCCCATTTTGCTTTTTAAATATCCCAGGTTTTTCTCAGGTACCCACCTTCTTTGTTACGGTGAAGTTTAATCACATTAATTTCCCTTGCTAGGAATGGGTTTAGGAACAGACTTAGGAAAAATTATGACCCAGGAGGTGAGGGGTGTGTGTGTGTGTGTGTGTGTGTGTGTGTGTGTGTGTGTGTGTGTG